AAGGCACTGGATCCCTTCTTTTCGTGGGCTTGAAAACAAATGAGCAGTTTTGGGCTACACAAAAATTTTGGGCCCTCCCAAAGCTAAACCTAGCTTGAAATATTTTTGGATAAGGCATATATGAAGGTATGACATCAAAACAAGGCTTCGTTACTTTGACAAATTAGTAGCAAGCAAGACACCTCATTCGGCAACTCTCCTCGCCTGAAGACTTGGGGGACTCCCACCATATGCTACTGCACCTTGATACTCGGAAGTCTCACAACCACTCAGTGACTTGGATTTTTCAAGTCTCCAACCGAGAAGTTTTCCTCACTCAGGAAATTAAGGGAACACTACCTTAAACTACATGCTTCACTCACAAAACTTCAACAATACACAAGTTTCAACAAAAGAAAAAATTCAAAGAACTTTTTGAAGAAGGCTTTGGTGTATTTAACACAATACGTTGAAATCAAGCAAAGCTTATTTATTAATACTTCCGATAAGCTACAAATATGTACATGTACATGAGTCAAAATAAACAAACAAGAGGGAGCCTTCATAAAGATTGCTTAGGGGAAGTCTCAGCAGTCGGTAGAGCCCCAGAAAGAGAAAGCACCGGAGGGTGGTTATCCGGAGCCTCAGTACTTGACAAAACCCCAGAAGGAGGAGGCATTGGAGGTTCATCATTTGAAGCTTCATTACCAAGTACAGCCCCAGAAGACGAAGGCAATAAATGCCTTTGGAACAAACCCACAAACCGTCGATGATCAAGTAAAACCTTACCATCAGATTCCTTCATCTGGTCAAGCTTCCTCTTCATGTTTGTAGCATAGTCATGGGCGAGCCGGTGCAACTGTTTATTCTCATGCTTGAGCCCTCTAATCTCCTGTTTGAGACTCATCACTTCAGCAGCCAATGATTCAACTTGGCGGGTTCTAGCAAATAGGCGTTGGACCATATTAGACACAGAACCTGCATACTGAACACCAAGAGCCAGAAAGTCCTTAACAGCCAACTCATCAGATCGTTTGGAAAATAGTCTGTTATCTTTGGGAGTGAGAAGGTTCCTGGCCACCACCGCAGCGGTCATATCATTCTTCATCACAGAATCCCCAACAGTAAGAGGACCAGTAGGGGATATGAAAGATGGGCGCCATATGTTGTCTGGAGAAGGCGTGGCTGTCTCTTCTCCAAGGTTCAAGTCAAAACGACGGTCGGAGGGGCCAGACATTTTCAAGGGTGTTGAAGAAGGAAGATGTCAGACAAATCAAGATTTTAGAAGTGCAAGAAGGGAGCTTCTACTGGTGGAGATTCAAGTGTGCTGTGGAACTTAATGCCAGCCTCTATAAATATCTGCAATCGACGGAGCTTCAGAAATCGAAGAGGTGTTTGCTTTTTCAAAAGCTGGGCTGCTCAGAGGGCACGAGGGCCGATCTCAGAAATCGAAGAGGCGCTTGCTTTCTCAAAAGTTGGGCTGCTTAGAGACCACGAGGGCCGATATCAGAAATCGAAGAAGCACCTGCTTTTTCAGCCTCGTTAGCACCTGTCACATGCACACTCAGCTTTGCGGAAATTACGGGTAATCTGTCAAAGATTTCTGGTGAAGTAGAAAGCACGTGAATCTTACTGTTCAATCACCACTCTCCACACGCACCATCAACTCCTCGGGTACCATATATAACTTTGCCAAAGATCTCTGACAAAATTTAGGCACGAGAATTTCGAAGTTCCAGCTACCCTACTATTACCCACAAGGGTAAAGGAACAGCACCACTGCTTGACAACTGGAAAGTCCCTATGTGTGTCGACCTCCGTGTTCTGTGGCAAGACAGACTGGCAAGAACGTCCAACCTTTACTCACATTCGAGAAAAGACTCCCAACATAATTACTCTCTTAAAAGCCGAAGTGGCACCGCTTTCTGAATCTCGAGAGCCAGATCCCCGACGGGATTGCTTGTTCGAAAATCGAAGAGGCACAGCTCTCAGAACTTCGAGAGCCAGATTTCCTTAGATAAAGCTTGTCTGTAATCTTCACACGCAACATCAGCTTTCCAGATACCACGTACATCTTTTTCAAAATGCTCTGACAAAGTTAAAACACGTGAAGCTGACAGCTCCCACTACATTGCTGTGACCGAGAATGGTAAAGGAATAGCATTACCACTTGCTATTGAGAAATTTTCTATATATATGTCGACCTGACCCCTCCTCCTACACGGACGAGACAGACTAGCAGACACCTGCAAAAATGCTCAACCATTTCTCGCATTCGAGAAGGCACCCTCAACATAACCTCTCGAAATACTCAGCTTTATTTCCCCCGATAATACCTCAGCAATAAGAAAATAAGCCACACCAAGAACAAGAGTATCTCATATCATCAGGGTCGAAAGCAAGAGTATCTCATATCATGCTTTCTCCCTGTCTTTGTCTTTGTCATTGTCCACACCTGCAGGACAAGGAGAAAGAGAGCAGTCAGTCGGAACCTGAAATCAAACCTCAAATCTGGAACTGACTGCCTGGAACCTTTGTCTGGTTGCTTACTTAGCATTGCTCTCGAGTACTCATCCTCAACTGCTGTCAAGGTCACGAATTCCACCAGCAAATACCTCATGACAGTTGATCAGATATTGGCTCTTTACACTAAAGTTGCCAAGCGTGGATGAGTCACTATGAAGGAATGTTCTGAAGGACCATTTAAATGCAAAGGTTGCACACCACTTCTACCATGCAAAAGATTGAAGCAGAAGGGTCAATGATGAGCTGAAACAGATCACTACACGACACATTTCCATACCACATTCACTATTCCGTCAACAGCAAAAGTATCCCATATCATCAAGGTCGAACGTACTCTAGATTTGATGGACTTGTTTTGACCCTCAAATTCTTGAGTCGGCCTTATACTCTGGAGGGAACCAGAAAACCCTCCAGCACAGTTCAAGAATAAGCCTGTGGAAAGTTACTTCTTCAAAAGAAAAAGTATCTCATATCATCTCTTATCCATTTGCTTCTCCTTATCCTGGCAGTTGAATGAGAGATAAGGAGAAGGAGAACAATCAACCGGAAGCCGAAGTCAAACCTCTGATCCTGGGTTGCTTGCTTGGAAGTTTGACTGCTGTACCTTGTCTGTTACCTTTGTCTGTCACCTCTTTCGGCAGATCTCCTAGCTCGGCGACTTGGGGGACTCCTACTATAGGGTTTGTATCGCACTTGACCAAGCCCGAAACTACAAGTAAGCTTCAAGTGAAATTGATACATTACCTTGTGCATCTTCATCGGTTAAAGATACCACCCCTGGATGGAGGAAGCGTACTTCCAGAGAAGATGCCACATACATCTACCTATGAGAGAAAGATAAGGCAAGTGAAGACGATACCACACCTCGGTACTTAGAAGTTTCGTGATTACTCAGCGGCTTGGATCTTGCAAGTCCCCAATCGAGGAGTTTCCCTCACTCGGGAACTTAGGGGAGCACTGTTTGTACCATACTTGACTAATCCCGAAACTACTGAGCACCAGTCAACGTTATACCGTCAAGGACCCAAAAGAGTTTCCCTTCAATCAGGAGGTCAATCACAATGCGACACGTGTCGACATCAGAAGCCAATCACAGCGCGACACGTGTCAACATCAGAGGCCAATCACAACACGACACGTGTCAATATTAGAACAAAACTAGAAACTCTCTTCTATAAATAGGGATCATTCTCCCACAATAATCTCTAATGTCATTTTGTACCAAACTATTCACTAGAACTCATAAAATGAGAGCTTGAACCTATGTATTTGTGTAAACCCTTCACAATTAATGAGAACTCCTCTACTCCGTAGACGTAGCCGATCTGGATGAACCACGTACATCTTGTGTTTGCTTCCCTGTCCCTATTCATTTACGTACTTATCTTCACTAGTGATCGAAGCAACCAAGCGAAGGTCACAAACCTGACACTTTCTGTTGTACCAAAGTCCTCGCTGATTTTGTGCATCAACATCACTAAAACAATGAAAAATGTGAAGTCTTACCTCATGTAAAGCTTCAGAAACATCGATTTCGTGTTTCATTCGTCAAAAACAATTTTTCTCAATCAACATGTTTGTAGTTTCATTGGTTAGGATTTTGTTCAACAATGGAGGATGAGAGGGTTTTGATAGTTGAGAAGATAAATAATACGCTAAAAGTGATTTGGGGTGTATTTATAAATTTTTTTTTTAAAAAACCTAATAAGGTCAAAATTGTCATTGCATAGTGGAGTACATAAGTCATTTAATATTAAATTTTAATATGGTGTACATTCAACATTTTGTGGGATGTTAATATAAAAAGCCTTACCTTTTCTATTATTTTGAATGATTAAGTTTAGGGTTTGGATGTTTTTTTAATATTGTTTTATATGTTTTCTTTGTAAAGATTTAGACATAAAATGTAAAAAGGTGGTCATGTGCCAAGCAAATGACACTTTCTAACAGAAAATTGGATGGAGTTAAAGATGCTTAACGGTAGGAGGTTAATTGGCCACTTTAACATAGTTTAGGGAGTCAATTGGCTGAAAAAATTGTTCAGGGGGGAAATTGAAATTCACATGATAGTTTAGGGGGTTAAATGACAGTTTACTCTTTATATTATTATTGTATATTATTTAAATGTTTTCTAATTAGATATTTTAAATATTTTATATTATTTTATTTTGTGGCCCGTGGGGACTTCCCTTCCTTCCCCGTGTCAATTATCTTCCTATTCTCTCGGGAACCCTCTGGAACACTCTCCCTCGTCTCTCTCCCTCATCCCCCTGCAACAACAACGACCCGAGGCACCACCTCGCCTCGCCCCTCCGGCGAGCTTCACCGCTACCAACAACCATAACTGTCTACCCTGCACCTCCCCGTTCCCCTCGTCCCGCTCTCTCTCTCTCCTCTGTGCTCGAGGCACAGCTGCAGCAATGGCAGCCACCATCGCCATACTTCCCGGTGAGATTTCATGGTGCTCCGACCTGGGTAAGCCTCGGGATGCTTAAGATTCTTTCATTTTCGTCATGGTGGTTTAATTATAACCTAGAGTTTGCGATTTAAACGTCGGATTTGCACAGGAACAGAGAAAGCAAGAAACTCAGTTTTCCGGCGAGGGCCCGACGGCTTTTGAGCCGTTTTCCGGCCACTTCAGGGCCAAATATTGGTATATTTATACTCCTCTCCTCCGTAGCTTCAATTTGGTATATAATATGTCTAGGTTTTGGGGTTGATCGGAGCTCGGGGAGCTCCGGTGTTCTTCGTGGAGTCCTTTTGACTAAATTTACAACGGACCCGTTGGTGATAGAAGGGTCACATTCACTTACCTTGCAATCCTTGACATCTACTTAACAATTTGAATGGCACACGCTCTACAAATAATAGAAAGCTTTCCAAATTGAAATTCAAGCCCCTTTCAATGAGTGCCTAGGAACTAATGGCATTGAACAAGACATGGAGATAAGCAAATTGAAATTCGAGCTGCTTCTTCAGTATCTGAATGTCAGTCTTCGCCTGTACAATCTGCCGGTTAATCTCCTCCCTCAGCTCATCGAAATTGTGCTTCTCCCGGAGATTTGCATCCACGACGGCTTTGCTCTTTAGGAGCGGAATCTCGAACGTGTTGAGCACCTGCAGGAAAGCCTTGGCGAGCCTGTCGCAGTCGGTGAAGTTGTCTTCGTTCTTGTCGAGCTCAACGAACAGGGAAGTGAATTTCTTCTGGAGCTTCTTCAACGGCGGTTCGCCTCTCGTGGTGGTGGTGGTCCGTGTGAGAAGTCTGTGTTTGATGATGACGTCATCTTCGAGCGGCCCGAACGCGTAGTTCGGCGCCACGGCCTCTCCTCGCCCTGAAGCTTTTCTTCCTTTCGCCAGCATCGAAACTGACCGTAGATTATGAGTCCGGCGGAAATTCGATTTCGAACTTGTCAAACTAAGCGCCTGCTTTGTATTTGAAAATTTTTAACATTTCACATTCTTGAAAACAATTTCTTTTAAGATTAAAAAACTTGATTGATTTGCGATTTAAAATTTTTAAATCTTATGACTTAAACTAGACAAACAGATATAAAAAGAGAGGGTCGGAGGAGAGAGGAGAGATGAGGAAAGAAAGTAAGAGATGATTGAAGGAAAGAGAAAGAAGAGAGAGGATCAGGTGAGATAGAGAGGAAGAAGAGTGAGAGAAAGAATCGAGACAATGAAAAGACCAGATTGTAGGAGAGACGAAAAACGTAAAAAAAAAAGAGGAGAGAAAAAAGAAAAGAGAGATTTGGAGTGAGAGGGGAGGAGGGAAAGAAAATAAAGGAGTGGGTTTAAGTTTAAAAATTCTAAAAACTCATTTTTTATATTTTTAAAGAATAGACTATATTTTTTAGTTAAACTTGAGTACAATTTTTTAAAATAGTCATACCAAACAAGTTTTTAAGCCTTAAAACTTGAAAATTATTTTTGAGTTTAAAAAGTTGAATTCAAGTAGAGTACCAAACGAACTCTAACTAATCTCTAGAAAGAAAAACCCCGTTCACGGCGGAGGATTCAACTTATGTTTGTGGAATCCAATGGCAAAGGAAGACGTTTGTTGTTTATACTCGATGTTAATTGGACGGTCGGATGGGCTTCATGGTTAAACACTGCTACACCGGATCCATAATGTTATTTGGTCAATAGGGCTTTTTATATATTGGGATAGAATCCACATTTATCACGAAAAAATAGGAGAAATTAGTGGTCTAACTAGCCTTTATGCATGCGCTCACGCGCGTATAGAATACATTTTTTTAATCATTGCATGTTACGCAAGATTTACACGTTATATGCGTAAATTGACAAAAGGAAAGTTAAATATTGGAAGTAAATGAATAATCTTAGATCATGCTAGAAGAAATCTCTCATAAATCAATTAAAACAGCTAAATCCACATAATGAAATTGGTCTCTATAGAATTTACATTAAGAATAGAGAAAATAATATTTAATAAACAACTGATTGAATCACATTATTGCTAACCCATTGTGAGGCTAAGCCCTCCCCCTCCCCTTTAGTGTAGGTAATCTTGTTTGTTAAAAAAAACAATCATTTGACAACTAATTCAATCACATTATTATTCGCGTGCGAAAGACCTTTTTTATAACCGGCTCTTAAAATGTTTTGAACGTGTTTAAAGATAGAGAAAATAATATTTAATGAATATCTTGAATCACATTATTGCTAGCCTATTGTGAGGTACTAATTAAAAAAATTGTACAAAAAAATTAATTATTAAAAAAACACTGTTAAAATGATGAAAATACTCATGTCTGTTGTGGTCTATTTTATCTGACAGAGGGACTAGGGCCGGCGGCAGAGGGAGAGAGGAGAGAGATGTGTGTTTGTAGAATTATAGGAGAATGTGTGTGTTGTTATCCCTCCTACATTGTGCCTTTATTTATAGTAGTAAAGGGAGAGAAGATATTTCTTCTCCTCCAAGTAATACAAGTTGTAATAGGAAAGGATAACTAGAATCAAATCTTATCTAGGATTTACACAATCATACTTAAACTAGGAATGTTTACAACACTCCCCCTTGAGTGGGTAAATACTCAAGGTAGATTCAGCATCATGCAGAAGTTGAGGAAGTCGACTCGTCGACATTGATTCCAAGGAACAACGCTTATTCTCAATAAGGTAGGAACTTGCATAAGTAGTAAGTTTCACTAAAAAACCCTAAGGCTATGGCAAAAACCCAAGTAGGGACAAAATCCATAGTCTAAGGAAAAATGCGTGAGAAATGCAAAGTCAAAAGAAACGTCTACAGGACGTCATCAGGGATATGACCAGCCCAAGGTGGGTGCCTCGTTAAAACCTAGTTAGGTAGCAAAAACCCAGTGGGAAAAATGCTCCTAATCGTAGGGAAAAAGAGTACATTAAGATCAAGCAAGTATCTAGAAGATACTCCCCCTGAGTTTGACATAATTCCACAGAGAAATAGCAAAGTTACAACTCAGAAAGTTTACGCATACCAATTCCATGAACAAGCTTCTGAAACGTCGCCTTCGGTAGTGATTTGGTGAAGAGGTCGGCCAGATTGTCTTGTGATCGGATTTGCGTGACTTCAATCTTCTGATGCTCTTGTTGTTGATGTGTAAAGAAGAACTTCGGCGCAATATGCTTGGTGTTGTCTCCTTTGATGTAACCCTTCTTGAGTTGTTCGATGCAAGCTGCGTTGTCTTCAAAAATCGTCGTCGGGGCATTAACGGCGGGATGAAGATCACAGGAGCTTCGAATATGGCCCACTACTGCTCTCAACCAAAAGCATTCCCGAGTTGCTTCATGTAAGGCGAGAATTTCAGCATGGTTAGACGAAGTGGCAACTAAGGTCTGTTTAGTTGACCTCCAAGATATTGCGGTGCCTCCAACGGTAAAGACATAACCCGTTTGAGAACGCGCCTTGTGCGGATCAGATAAGTATCCAGCGTCAGCATAACCAACAAGGCGAGAATTAACCCGATGAGCATAGGGTGCGGCATCACTCGAGGATTCGTAGGGATAGAATAAGCCCAAATCCGTAGTACCCTTAAGGTAACGGAAGATGTATTTCACGCCAGTCCAATGTCTGCGTGTTGGTGCATTGCTGTATCTTGCCAAAAGATTAACAGCGAAGGAGATGTCGGGTCTAGTGCATTGAGCTAAGTACAATAAAGCGCCTATCGCACTTAGATAAGGAACTTCAGGCTCCAAAATCTCTTCATCATCCTCCTTCGGACGGAAGGGATCTCGCTTTGCATCTAGCGTACGAACGACCATAGGAGTACTCGAAGACTTCGCTTTATCCTCATTAAAACGGCGCAACACCTTCTGGGTGTAGTTCGATTGATGTACTAGGATTCCATCCGAACAATGCTCTATCTCGAGACCGAGACAGTATCGAGTCTTACCTAGATCTTTCATCTTAAATTCCGACTTCAGGTGCGAAGCAGTTCTCGCGAGCTCTTCAGGAGTTCCGATGAGATTCATGTCATCGACATATACTGCAACAATCGCAAATCCGGAATGTGACTTCTTAATGAACACACAAGGGCATAGTTCATTATTCACATATCCCTGACTAGTCAAATACTCACTTAAACGGTTATACCACATTCTTCCGGATTGTTTCAAACCGTATAGTGAACGCCTCAGCCGAATTGAGAGCGTGTTCCGGGGTTTGGAAATATTTGAACCAGTCAATGTAAGTCATTCGGGAACTTTCATATAAATTTCCGTATCAAGATCCCCATAGAGATACGCGGTTACTACGTCCATCAGCTGCATATCCAGTTTTTCGGAAACTACCAAACTGATAAGGTATCGAAAAGTAATCACATCCATAACGGGTGAGTAAGTTTCGTCATAGTCAATCCCGGGGTGTTGTGAGAAACCTTGTGCTACAAGACGAGCTTTGTAACGCACAATTTCGTTCTTCTCATTACGCTTCCGAACGAAAACCCACTTGTAGCCAACGGGCTTCACATGTGGAGGAGTAGGAACTACAGGTCCAAACACCTTACGTTTCGCAAGTGAATCAAGTTCGACTTGGATTGCTTGTTTCCAGTTTGACCAATCAGCTCTACGTCGACATTCATCAACGGAACGCGGTTCAATGTCATCGCTCAACATGATCTCAGTAGCTACTGCAAATGCTAATGCATCGTCGACAATCATCTCATTTCTACGCCACACATCATCTAAGCTAGCATAATAGACCGAAATCTCACGATTCTCGGGAGGAGGATTCGTCTCTTCAAGGACGCTTCCATAATCTAGAATTTCCTCATGAGTTGGGTAAAATGAGTAAGCGATAGTCGGATTCACGGTAGGCTCTTCAGGACCTTGTGTCGTGGTTTTCCTCTTCCGGGGGTGTGAATCCTTTGAACCAAGGGGTCTGCCACGCTTTTGTGTAGGGGCAGATGATTGGCTAGCCGCTAATGTACGTGGATCACCAGAATTGGCATCCCGGGCTTCCAGGAGGGTAGTCCGTCGTACATTTGGTACATCCATCTTTGCAGGCGTATTCGCAGCTGGAATATGTGATCTTGTCACGCGCGCTAGATCGGTGAAAGCATCTGGCATGCTCTGAGCTATGCTCTGGAGATCTAATATGCGCTGCACTTCAGCTTCAGACTGAGCGGTGCGGGGATCTAAATGAGACAAAGTGGGAGTCGTCCACGATAATTCGCGTCGTTCATTAGGAACGTTGACGTTCTTATCTCCCCCTAACGACGGGAAGACTGTCTCATAGAAGTGACAATCCGCGAAACGAGCGGTAAACAGATCGCCTGTCAAAGGTTCTAAGTAACGAATAATCGAAGGAGAATCATATCCGACATAGATTCCCATCCTTCGCTGAGGCCCCATTTTTGTACGTAAGGGCGGCGAGATCGGCACATAGACCGCACAACCAAAAACGCGCAGATGCGATATGTCGGGTTCGCATCCGGTGACCAACTGAAGGGCACTAAATGGTTGTGTCGCAACAGGCCTCAGGCGGACCAACTTTGCTGCGTGCAATATTGCATGGCCCCAAGCAGCGATCGGGAGCTTGGTACGTATGACCAACGATCGAGCAATCATTTGTAAACGCTTAATGAAAGCCTCTACCAGGCCGTTCTGGGTGTGAACATGGGGTACAGGATGTTCAACTTCAACCCCAACCGACATGCAATAGTCATCAAAAGTTTTAGATGTGAATTCTCCAGCATTATCCAATCGAATAGATTTGATCGGATAATCAGGGTGGTGAGCCCTGAGCTTGATAACTTGAGCCAACAGTTTGGAGAATGCAGCGTTCCTTGTGGACAACAAGCACACGTGTGACCAACGTGTAGAAGCGTCAACCAAAACCATAAAATATCTAAATGGTTCGCATGGAGGTTGAATCGGTCCACAAATGTCCCCCTGAATCCGTTGTAGAAAAATGGGAGGATTCGAACGAATCTTGTCATAAGAAGGCTTAGTAATAAGCTTTCCCATAGAACATGTTTGACATGCAATTTCATGGATCGAACCTAAGCTTCGGGTTAGTGGATGCCCGTGTGAAGTTTTGAGGATACAGCGCATCGCTATTCGTCCAGGATGTCCCAAACGATCATGCCAAAGTGTAATTTCGTGCGCGGTCCCTGTGGTAGGGCCGGCCACATAGTGGCATTCTATGGGGCGTATGGTCGTAGTATACAGACCACTCGGGTTACGCTCCATCTTCTCTAGAATACGCTTCTGGCCATATTCGTAGGAAGTTACGCACAGAAATTCAACTCCGTTTTCTACGTGGGTTTCAGCGTGGTAATTGTTATCTCTAATGTCCTTGAAACTTAGTAACGTTCTTCCGGAACGTGGAGAATAGAGTGCCTCAGCAATGGTCAAGATTGTACCATTGGACAACATTATACATGCCTTATCGTATCCTTCGATCAGGTTGGATGGGCCTGAGAGGGTTGTCAGAGGTGCATTCTTAGGTACGAAGTTAGTGAAATAGATGCGTTCACGCAAAACAGTATGCGTGGTTGCACTATCTGCCAGACAACTAACTTTCCCACTAGTCATACCTAGAATGAAAAATTAATTTGAATCGGTCACATGCATAAAAGTTTATAAAAACAAGTATCAATTCAAAATAATTTCATTTATTCAAGGAAAAAACTTAATATCCAAAATAAATCGCCAACTAATAATCCAAAACATAAAGGAAAATTGTTCAAAATCAACCAAAAAACAAGGTGGGGTTCGGCCACAAGGTGGAATTCGGCCCCAATTGTCTTATTTTAACTGAAAAATAAGTCTATGTCTAAGATTCTAATCTTCCATAAGAGTAGTATCCTCCTGAAAATCAGAAACCTCCATCTTTGTAGTCTCCGGTTCGTCCACTTGCAGGAAGTTTGATTCAAACTTCGTACGACGAGAATGATATGCATCCACAACCTTCTTGGGAGCACGGCAAATACGGGACCAATGGTCATTGGAACCACAACGATAGCACATATCGTCATTCATTGTGGCAGGTGCTTTGCCCTTATTCTTGAAGTTCGGGGCCTTGGGAGCGAGGTTTGGGCGCTTCTGGGCTTTGTTTCCTCCCTTGGATGGGCCTTGGCTCTGTTGACCTTGGTGGGATGGCTTCTGGCCGCCCTTACCACGCCTCTTTTGGCGTTTTGGGTGCTGATTAGTGCTATAATGTGCTTCAGGCACAGCAGTAGCCCCAGTAGGTCGAGCTTGATGATTCTTCATCAACAGCTGGTTCTGCTTTTCAGCAAGAAGTAAAACAGAGATCAAATCCGAGAACTTAGTGAACTTCTGAGCTCTATATTATTGCTGCAGGACAATATTAGAAGCAGAGAAGGTCGAGTAGGTCTTCTCCAGGAGATCCTCTTCAGTCAAAGTTTCATTGCAAAACTTGAGAAGTGATCGGATTCGACAAACTTCAGAATTATATTCATTCACAGACTTAAAGTCTTGGAAGCGCAAGTGCTGCCAGTCGTGTCTTGCTTCAGGCAAGAATATGTCCTTTTGGTGATCGAAACGATAAGCCAAAGCGACCCATAATGCACGTGGATCCTCCTCAGCAAGGTACTCAGTTTGTAGAGCGTCATGGATATGTCTTCGGATGAAGATCATAGCAGTGGCTTTTTCAGCCTCTTCAACAGGTTTATCTGTTGCTTCTTCAATAGCAGGACGCAAGTTCTTTGCAGTGAGGTGGAGCTTCACATCTTGAACCCACTTGAGGTAGTTCCTTCCAGAAACCTCCAAAGCGGTGAAGTCGAGTTTGTTCAAGTTCGACATGTTCCTATCACAAAATAGATGGACAAGATGTGGTTAGTGTAATGGAGAAAAATCAATCCATTCACATAGGAGTAGAACATACAGGTTCTAATAGACATGTATTGGTTTAATTTTGCATGAAAAACTTCGGGTTTTCATGGGTGATATGTTTAAGTGAAAACTTCGGGTTTTCTAACAAGGCATGTGTATAAGAAACTTCGGGTTTCAAAGTAATTATGAACTTCAGGTTCATATATTCCTGCAGGCAAACACAAATATATATGCAAAGAATATATGCAGAAATATTGTATAATGATAAGTGAATTAATTTATTTTTGGTCTTCGGGGCCAAATTAAAGTGTGGGTGAAAATATAAAAACCCATATTATTTAAAAAAAATTAAATAATAAAATCTCGGGGCCTAAAAATATAGGCCGAGGACCCCCGGGTGTAGGCTGCAGGCCCACGGGGTGAGAAGGGAATGGGCTGCTGTGTGTAGCCCTAAGAAAAATTTCTCTTTTTTTTTCGGTATGGGCCGCTGCAGGCGAGCCCAGGAAAATAAAAAAACAAATTGTTTTCTTTGTGGGCTGGGCCGCTGCAAGCGAGCCCAGCAAAAAAAATTATTTTTTTTCTTTTGTTACACGGGCCGAGAGACAGAGCCCGAGTAGGGTTCGGGAAAGAGACCCAAAAGAAATCCCAGCCGGGCTGGGTGTGCGATGCCGAAGAGAAAGCCGGAGTTCGTGGACGGCGCCATGGCAGGCGGTGTGTCCAGGGTCGAGCAAGCCATGGTTCGTCGAAGAACCAGGTGTTTGTCGACGAATAAGAGATCTCGACGTCGATGGAAGAAAAAAAACCGAATGAATTCAATTGAATTCGAGTGAAGACCCATGAAATTCTTCTGGAATTTCTAGAAATCGTTGGTGAAAACGATGGGTGGTGTCCAAGTTTGCACGACTGCAGGTCGTGTTGTGTCGGAAAATCGACGGCGAGGACCTAGGCTTCAGGCCGTAGGTCGGGACAAGGTGCTTCAAACGCACCGTTTCGGTTCAAGGCTTTCGGCCTTGGTTCTCGGTTTGGGTTGGGCCATCGCAGGCTGCGGGCCTGGTGGCTTGCGGCCTTGCATGGTGCAAAGGCACGGGTTCGACTAGAACCCTAATCCCCAAATCGCAAAAAAAAAATTTCAATTCAAATATAATTATATGCATGTGGATTTCAATGAATCACATATGTACGTTGATGCATATGCAAATAATAGTTTCAATGCATGTACATATGTAGGATTCAATTCATGACAAATATCAAATTCACATAATTGTAGCAATTTTGATGATGAAGCATACACAATTTATGTAGAATCTAAAATACGTAAAACGTAAAGTTGGGTCATGCATCATGGTGAATGTTCATGCTATCAGGGCTTGCAAAATATCGAGTTAAAAGCCGTTGTTTGGAAAGAACCTGATTGCGTGATGATATGGATGAACTGGTTTGATGCAGAAAAAATTTCCAACGTCAGATTCCTAAGCGCAGCGGTAGGAGCGTGCTGATAACGTGTTGTGGTCTATTTTATCTGACAGATTGACTAGGGCCGGCGGCAGAGAGAGAGAGGAGAGAGATGTGTGTTTGTAGAATTGTAGGGGAATGTGTGTGTTGTTATCCCTCCTACATTGTGCCTTTATTTATAGTAGTAAAGGGAGAGAAGATATTTCTTCTCCTCCAAGTAATACAAGTTGTAATAGGAAAGGATAACTAGAATCAAATCTTATCTAGGATTTACACAATCATACTTAAACTAGGAATGTTTACAACACTATCATATTTGATGCATTATTTTGGATTGCTTTTAAAGTTTTTTGTTTGAGGGGCATTTTTGTCTAATTATTTTTGGTGAAACTTGTGACACCAAAAAACACTATTCATTGGGCTTGTTGGCTTTATATATAAGATATACCCATCAATGAGAGGGAAAGAAGAAAAACGTGGCAAAGCGGAAAGGACGAGGCCTTACATTAATATGCTGGCAGGTTCCAAGTAGAAGTGTTATATAATTCACTTGTTACGTAATTTTCCTCACACTACCAATGTTTTAAAAGATGCTATGCGCTAGTTAGACGGTTTTAAAAGATGCTATGCGCTAGTTAGACGGTTGACTAGGGCCTAGCAGCCTAAGCGGAATATATAACGTATACATATAAATGTCTATTTATACTTAAAAAAATACATAATTGCATTGTGAAACATAAATTGTAAAGTAAAATGACATATATATTATAAAATATTAGAATATATTGAAAACATGGGGATCAAACATATAATAACTATTCATCCAAGTATTTAACAAGTATCTTACAAGTATTGAAAAGTAAAATGTACAATGAAAATTATCTATTTTTTGTCTAAGTGAGAGTCACGATCCAGGTGGGTGTGTCCAAATTCGCCAAAGCACCCGTCTAGATCGTGACTCTTACTTAGACATCAAGTTCATGGTCGATCGATTTATGTTACAACTTATGGTAGAGTCATCGAGTTCACGGTAAGATCGGGATTAGAAATTTTTTCTGAAGGGAACAGGTAGAGCAGAAATCCTAGAATCTCTGTTCTCATATAATGCTAATTTAGGCTTGTTTTGGGATTTCATTTGTCTAATATTATTCTCCTCACCAAAGAGGCAAATATCTATATTACAGACTTTAATTTACAAGGTAAGAATATGCAATAATATTTACCCTAATTATACAAACTTAAACGGGGAACGAGATCATCCTAATTACAATAAAAGTCAACTCACACCAACAATTCTTTCGCCATACTATGCCTCTTCAACTTGGTCTTTGGAGGAACTTCCACTTTCACTGGGTCCTGCTTCATTACTGTATTGTTCACGTGTTCGCTTAATCACGTCTCGTTGTACAGTTTTTTATTCCTCAAAATCACAATTGGTAACATCCTCACACAAAGAAATGCTTCGGTCGGAATATTGTTTAGTCGTTCGGTTCAGCTCTTCTTCTGTATCTTGTTCATACAGTGGACGGACTCCGCACTTCTTCACCTTCAAGCATGTCTTGCTTCCGACAGCACATTCTGTTTCGAAATGAAACTGAATCTGATTCCAGCAGCTCTCCCAACGATTTTTCTCAGGTTGATGATCTGATGGGAAAAGAAATTTCCAAGATAGAAAGACCAACCAGAGGTGATCTGACACTACCTTGTTAACCATAATTCCAATAGTCTGAGGCATGTCTTGAAAGGTGCTGTTTGAACCAAAACTGCAACGAAATTCAATTAAATATTCATGACGTCGTAGCCATTTTCGTCCACAAGTGGGAGCTGAAATACTTTCAGCAGCTGCAAATATAGCGCATAAAGCAAATCCCATCCCCTCCCTATTGCATGAATGCGAAGGTAGCTTCTCAATCACCGAATCCCCCATGCTTTGGTTATTGAACCACTCAGGAATTTCACTTCCAGGAATTAGTATACTGAAAAATTCCACAAAATGAGGGAGCTCCTGCAATAAGGAACAACGTAAATAAATGTACACAACTAAGGAGAGGGGGGGGGGGATAGAAGAAAGAGAAACACCTGAATGAATCTCTTTAGCATTGAATGCATTATGGCATTGCAACCTTGATTTCCAGCCAAACTGAAGCAATTGACAGAAGTCAACCAAAACTTGCTTGATCTGCAAGCATGTGGTAAATATCGGAGCATTTTTAAGGAAGTACAATTCTCTGTGTGTATACTTAATCTGCTGTTTAAGGAAGTGGCTGGCAGTTGTTGAAGCCTTTTGCAATTTTGCAATTCAAAACACATCAGCTTAGAAAGCCCACTGATGCTTGCAGGAAGGCTAACAAAATGGTTTCCGCTAAGATTTAGTTTTTCTAAAGAAGACAAGAAACCAATATCCTCGGGAATTGCTCCTTCACAAAGATTGCAGTCCTCCAGATTTAAATTCTTCAGAAAGCATAAATCTTTCAATGAAGCTAAGACCAGACTCACAGGGTGAGAAATCTTTGTTGGAAATTCGCCAAAAATGAAGGAAAGCCATGATCTAGCTGGTGGTGCATTACATCCAAGAAAATTTGTTAGTTGAGAAATTTTCACTGAAACCAGGGAGGATTCCGTCTCTCTCAAAGTAATTCCACTTAAATCAATCCCCTCCAAACTCCAACGTATAACTGAGGAAGGTATTTCCTGAACAACGGTTCGGCTTACAGAAAGCTTAGAGAAATTTTTCATTTCTCCAACAAATTCTGGAATCTTTTTCAGTTTTGAGCAGCCAGAAATATCAAATACTTCAAGAGATTCCATTTCTACCTTGTTTGGGAGATTCTTAATACTTTTACAGTCTTTGAGATTTAAAAGTCTAAGCCTTCTGAGAAACCCAATGGATGAATGAATCTTAATTAAATTGGTACAACCTTCAAGAACCAGCTCTTTGAGATTTTTAATACCTGTGAAATCTGGGGTCCTTGTCATGTTGTGGGAGTAACTAAGATCGATAGACTTCAAATTGCCCAAGCACTGTACAAAAATGAAATGGTACAATAGTTCATGTCCAGAAATTACAATTATTGTAATTGACAAAGTAAAATTCAGTTGTCCAATCATCTACCTTTATTCCATTCCAAAGGTGATCAATTTTGCTATGCTGCAGACTAAGTACTGTAAGTTCATCCGGTTGAAAAATTGGTGGGAGACATTTGGAGGGATACCAGCTCCATTTGAGAACTCTTAAAGCATTCGGAATATACTTGGGGCCCTTAGAAAGGCTCACATTATGAATGTCGAGCAACCTCAGGTTACACATCTTAGTGAAAGCTTCAGGATTGCAGTGTGCCTCTTCAAATTCACTTAAGTGTAAAACTATGCCTTCAATTGCTTCTGATCCCTGATAAATAAGATTAAAGGAATAGTTAATTTCATAATACAGTCTTTTATCATGTTAAATATTATTATAGTGTCCTATCCAAACTTTGGTATTTTCATTTTCACGCAACTTCTTACTGTATTCTCTGCAAGCACATGCAAGATATCATTAGGAAGCCACAACTGACTACGACCACCTGCCTCCTCGTAAGACTCTCGTCGAACAATCTCCCATGCCATTTCTTGTATCAAATCATGCATAGACACAGACTTGTATGAAATATACAAGAGAGATTTCTCAAAAAGAACTTGGATCACAACGCGAGTGCCAACAAAGCCACAGTTTTCTAGTCTTTCAATTACTCGCTCCCTTTCACAAAACTTATGGAAACATGCAATGTCAAGGAAGATTCTCTTCTCAAGCTCATCTAGTCCATCATAACTTATTTTCAATGTTTCAAAAATTGTCTTATTTGGAGCTTGCTTCAGTTTATCTAGTGCACTCTTCCATTCATCTCGACCTCTTTTGTACAATAAAGACCCTAAAGTTTTAAGAGCTAATGGAAGACCTCTTGCATAACTGATGAAACATTTAGACAGTTCTAAAAAATCCTCTTCCAACTCATCATCTTTAAAGGCTTTCCAACTAAAGAGAGAAAAAGCTTCATCTTGGGTTAATGGCTTAACCTCATATACCATCTCTATACCATGTTCAACTAACAAACGTTCATCTCTAGTTGTAACGACGATTCTACTCCCGAAACCAAACCACTCTTTTTGTTTGACCAACTTTTCTAGTTGGTCTAATTGATCCACATCATCGAGTATGAGAAGAACCTTTTTACTGCATAAACACCTACTTATCCTAGTGATTCCACTATAAGCATTCCAAACTTGTATGTTATTTTCCCTTAAGATATCAGAAAGAAGCTGCTTTTGTAGATGAGCTACACCATCATGTGCTCTGCAGACCTCTCTAACATTAGCAAGAAAACTGCTACCTTCAAAATCATCAGAAATTCTCTCGTAAACTAATCTAGCTAGGGTTGTCTTACCCACTCCACCCATCCCCCGTATCCCTATAAAGCGAACATCGTTTGCATCTGTATCTAAAAGCAAATCTATTTCCTCCAGTTTAGAATCAATTCCGACAAACCTCTCTGAGGAATCTAACATTGAAAACGTAGGATGCACTTTCTCCCATAGTGTATTGACGATTCCTTGGATAAGCTCTGTATCATACCTACAAGAAGAACAAATAACGTAAATAAAAAATCATCACATCGTAAAATAAAGTGCATGGTAACGTTGAAACTCAATAGTAAAAAATTGGTCTTCTTCAGCTTAAACGTCAGTTGTTGCCTCTTGCTTACCTATAATCCTTTGAATTCCACCCAGCGAGATTAGCCACCCTTTTCAACGACTTTCTCCACTCATTTACCTCCTCCATGTGTTCTCGATAATTTACTTCATGTTCCGCAATGGCTTTCCCAAAACTCCCTCGCTGATGGCGTACATCAGAAGGATCCACGCCATAAAAAATGGGAAAAATTCTCTTTTTCTCTTTCATGCATCGAACAATATGAGTAAGTTCTCGCAAACACCAACTTGAAGAAGCAAAGTTTGTCGAAAGAACTATGATTGCAGACCTTGATTGGTCAATTGCCCTCATGAGCTCTGGATTGATTTCTGTCCCTCTTTCAAGTTCCGGTTCGTCCCTGAAAGTCTTGATTCCTCGCCCCTCCAACTGTTTGTATAAATGATCTGTAAAACCCCTACGGGTGTCTTCACCTCTGAAACTCAGAAACACATGGTATTTCCATGGAAAAACTGCAGGAGCAGAAGCTAGGGCCATTTGGCTGCTCAACGCAAATCAGAAGTGTTCCAAGAAATCAGCTCTAAGCATAGAAGCACTGAAAGTGATTTGCCAAATATTTCAAACTTCAAACTGATGGATTACTATTGAATAACTAAATTGATGAGAGGAAAAGATGCCTTCGATGTTAATTGATGAAAATAATATGATAAGTAGAAAAGAAGACTACGAAAGTAGTTGCCGCGTCACCTTTGAAAGTGATGGAGTTGGTGGGAAGGGCATCATGCATAATTTCCAGGAAAGACTAACGATGTTGCGTTCTGCCATTCTTTGCTTTGTTTAATTGAATGGCTGATGACATGGTGAGTTTGTTTAATTTTGCGTTAGTGTCCTTCAGTATTGATTTCAATACCTGCTAAATGCTAGTGCTGCTATTAATTTTAAATTTTCCAGTTTCTACAACTCACTATCCTTTCCTAATATATTATGTTTAACATGTGGCAAAGAAAGTCTTCTTTTAAATCTATATTATATGTTACATTATCCCATGCAAACTCACAAACACAAAATTGGACATTTCCCAGAATGACCAGAAAACTCACAAACACAAAATTTTCGACATTATTCCTTGCAACCAAACATCCTTTCAAAAGCCTCAGAGAAAAGCAAAACTGGACATTTCCCACTCCCGGAATGACTAGAAAACTTGTCTAGGGATGATTTCTTGTTCCACATGATCAAATAGCATCACAACGTGCCCTGAATCCACTACCTAGAAAATAGAAATGCTTGAGTTTAATTTTGAGAGACTACATGAACTAAAGCCTGCACAACAGATAATCATAGACCTCAAAGTAGCAGATCACAGCTCTAAGTTAGTTTGAGTTGCTTCAGGGAGTTTGATTACTATTAGTTGCTGTTAGTTTTGTGCAGCGAGACCCTCAGGTGGCATTGGTAGACTCAGGTCTTGACCATATAACATGTTACTTGTACATATGTATCAGTCACATTGTAATGATTTTCCAGACTGACACGCCCTGTTCCCGATGTCCGGGGGACAACGGGATGGCCACATGCTGGCCGACACCCGAGGATGATGCAAGCCATTTAATGAATGCTTATGCCAAGAACATGTGAAACATGCATATAAATTTCGCGCGTGACTACGCAAAGTAATATTCAAATACAAACCTTATAAAATAATATTCAACTGCCAACAATGAATAATGATAATGCATGACATGTTCAGAGCATACTTGTGAGAACCTGTATTTTAAAAAATAATTATATATAATTATGTGTTGTATATACTTATTAATTTCAGAAAGTTTTGTATTACTTCTTAATTAATCGTTAATTCCTTTATTTCATTTTTCTATACTCTAATTTACGATTATTTTGAACCAAATAAGTTCAGTACACCATTACGGTAGTATTTGAACTATATATTCATATTATTCATTTTCTTTTCTTTTACATTATTTTATTAAGCTGCATGTTTTGTTCTATTCTAATTGGACCAAAAACCATAGCCAATTAAAGTGCTTTTAGTTCATTCCTATCTAAGAATCTGCCGACTTTGTATGACTATAAGTAGAAACCCAGGGCTGTAGAGCGGTGTGGTCTGCGAGAGCGAGAGAGAACTGATAACTGGATAAAAGATGGAATGTTTACAGAGAAAGATGTAGGCACAGAGGGAGAGATTAATTTGCTGGAAAATACAAAGTGCTAAGTTGTTTATGAGGCTGTAGTATTGAGAAGGCAACTCTTAGGGAAATAAATGAAAATGCAAGAGAGGGAGGTGTTGTATAATCAGTAAGCCACTGCTTGTTCTCGTATGCTACTTTACCGAAGGAGTATTCAGTGTCTGAAATAGGTATGATGTTCAATTCGAATTCGATTAACTACCAATTTACCAAAGTCGTAGTTGGTCTCTTCTTATGTTGTGATTCATTGTGTGTTTTGTCCACTAGTCCTGATCATAACATGGATTTTGTATGATATGATGGATTGTTGCAGTGGAGTAAATTTATCCCTTATATATAGCCACTAATATTTAGGGCTAGTTTTATGCATATGCTTTCTTTAATCTACTATATATAAAAGTTGTTGGTTGAATGCAAAAGACTGTTATGCTTATATGGATACCATTTCTACTGCTGCATATTTGATTAGAGGAGCTGTTGTGCAAACAGTTGTATAAATATGGCATCAGCTCATCAGTTTATGAATTGATTAATTTCAAAAGAAAGCATGTTTTGATTTTAAAGGATAATATATATGCAACTGGTTTTATATCTACACTATCTATGCATCTTTCAAGTAAAGCATCTGGTTGAAGTTGCAAATGGTAATATATACATTCCACTCTCCATGTTTTCATCACAAAGACTATATATGCATGTATGTATTGGAGTTAGAACCAAACTTATGGTTCACGTTTTCAAGCTATATGTCTACTATATTAATAAACCACCTTATGTTTAGAGTTGGAATGATTATATTAGCTACATATATCTAATTCGGATAAAGCAGTATTTTGATGTACTGATCCTTTATCAACTATACAAACACATCTTATTTATTTCTTAAAAGTATTTGAATCTATTTGTGTTGAATTAGTAGTCACAAGTAATTACTCAAATAGGATTAGAGTTGTAGTTGTGCATTTAGTGATTTGCTTATACATGTGAATAGGACTTTATCAAGGTGGTGGATTCTTGTGTTAATAATATGGAGCAATGCTTTGGAATCCAGGTAGGGGGAAATACGACAGAGACCTTTACAGAGATTGATTTTATTAAATTTTGTGAAATATTATATTCTTCTTATTGATCTTGTTGTTGATTAATGGGATATGGTTTGCTAATTGGATAATTACTACTCTTGGGTGTTTACTTGTTATTGTTACAGAATTATTATTGGTGAAAATGCTATTCGCTGAGAATATGTTGTGGTACATGTGAATGATGAAATGAGATTATTTGTGCATCACTCATGTGTGAGAATAGTTGGAAGTTCGGTGTTGAGGAAGGAATTCTGGAAATGAGGGTAGATGGAAATATCTTTTGTGTAGTTGAGCCAAACTCTTAGCAGGTACCAAATCTTAGGTGAGCCCACAGTGCACAGATTCTTTAAGGGTAATTCGGGACTGGCGATGAAGAGTTTAGGCAAGATGACTAACAAAAGGGGAAATCGGGATGATTGAGTTACAGGGGGTTAATTTGTATATTATAACATTCGAACCACCTCTGCAGGGGTAAAATGCATGGTATGGGACGTGCAGGTCCGCATGTTTTATTATATAAATTAACGGGGGTAGCCGAAGAGGTTCAATTGCATTCATGCATTATTATCAATAATGATTTGATATTTGGTTATATGATTTCATGACACTTAATTTAATATTGTCAATTTATTGTGATAAGATTATGTCCCTACAGAGCTGTTAAAGCTCACCCCTTTATTGTTATGCAGGTTAAGAACTAAACAGTAAAAAATGGTAGACAGGATGAGATCGGATTAAGTGTGAGGATAAAATTTTGTATTTATTTATCTTAGTCTTGTAAAAAATAATTCTGGATTTTTTTATAAGAGGAATTTTATTTTTCACTCTGTTATTTCAGTTTTATTTTATTTATTTAGTTTTTAAACTCACGTTTCGGATTCGGGTTTGAGTTTTTATTGCCGATTCCGGGTCCGGGGCATGACAATACCACTAAATCAGAATACAAGCGGAAGATATAATAGAAGTGATATTACAAGTGATGTCAAGAGCAGAGGAGATGACACCGAAATCACTGGTAGGAGAATGCCTCGTAGCTCGGACCGTAAGCCTCGTTCCTATTTCCTAAGGGGGCACAAAACAAACATGAGTGGACCAAGTTGATATAAGTAGTACAAACATAGTTATTTGATAACGTACTAACCCCCAAAGTTTTATGAAAACTAATAGCATAATATGTGATAGGTTTTCCAAAAAACCTAGCATGCCATAAAACCTTTCGTAAAACAAATATTATATAAAGTGTGCTAATAGTGTACTATATCTCCCGGCTTGAAGCCAATATAAGTATCTCTCGGCCCGCAGCCATATATAAGTGTCTCTCGGCCCGCAGCCAAATATAAGTATCTTTTGGCCCGCAACCATATATAAGTATCTCTCGGCCTGCAGCCAAATATAAGTATCTTTCGGCGTGCATCCATATAAGTATTTCTCGCCGTAGGGAGAACAATGACCACTAGCTAAGCACAAAATCATTGAACATAATATATTTCTAAAAATATATATATATATCTCAACGGAGCTCAGTAGCTCAAACAACATATCATAAAAACATGTTCTAAATAGTATATAGTCATCAATCATATATACTACAAAGAATGGTAAAACGATAAAGTATGGTATTCCAAATTATCTCAGTAAAGCATGATAATCATAAAATGTAAATCCAATTTACTCATAAAAACGTAACCATTAAATCATGCTTTTTATGTATGCATTTCTAGCAGTAAAATATGCATTTTAGAAGGGGTCCACTCATAGATACTTCACCGTCGAAGAGCCACACAAACTAGCGAAGACCGCCACAATAAATGCACCTAAGCACATAAAGGGTCCAATTAATAAAACTCTACTCAAACGATTGAATTTGGGAAAACGAAAGTCAAAAACGGATTCAGGATGTTGGAAAACATAAAAAGGACCTTGGGTACCCCCACGCGCCGAGATGGGTCCCTCGAAAGTTGGCCAGAAAAATCGTCGGTGCCGTCGTAGACAGTGGTTCGTGTGTTCTACGCGCCGGCCAATACCAGCTCTTGAGCACGGCCTGGCTTCTTGGATTCGACCAAGTTGGGACGGATCCGAGTTGGATCTAGGCTTGGGCTTGGTAGGGTTTGGGCTTGGGTTTGGTGGGCCTGAGCCTCACAACTGGGCCGTGTTCAATGACCTAAAAACCTGGGTTCATTTGGGCGAAGGCTCGTGTCATCTCGGCCTGTAGTCCTGGTTTTGGGTGGGTTCAAAAGGGTTTTGGGTTTGACAAATGGGCTGGTTCCAC